TATATAGATTTATGATAATTAAGACTGAGCTAGCATATAAGAAATCCTAGTCAATTTGCCAGCAGCGTTGTAAACTAATGTAAGACTCAGGGTGTTATTCTGGGCAGCCACGTGGCAGCAGGGCTTGGGCAGATGGAACCATGGTTCCATTACATGGAACCGTGGAATATTGCCCCATGGGAAAAGATGCTTTTTGGGGCATCTGTATCCAAACAATCCTGAAGTCCCATAGTGCATTGTGGTGTGTGTGTGTGTGTGTGTGTGTGTGTGTGTGTGTGTGTGTACACATATGTTTGTATGTGTATGTATGTGTGGTATATTATGTGTGTTGTATATGCATATACGTGTGTATGACTGTTTATATGAATATATGTGAATATATGCTTGCATATTTATGTGTGTATGTATATGTTTGTTTGTGTGTATGTATACATGTATGTGTGTGTTTATGTGTGCATGTGTATTGCATACATGTATATGTATGTGTATGTATGTGTTTGTGTTTATGTGTGTGCTTCAGTTATGTAAGTAAGTTACTGATTCCATTTTGCTTTCTAAGCCATTTAAACTGGTTTCTAGTCACTTGTATCCAATAACTTATAACTTAAATAAAGTGATATTTGACTTTACCAGTATTTTATGGTGTTTGCTTTCTTTTGTTTCCAAGGTCTCAGGTGCTTTAACTCTGAACCAAGCATTCCACAGATGACCAATCTGAACACTGGCTGCAATTTACATGTCTGTTTGTTCGGATCTTAATATTGCAGATATCAATCTATCAATCAGTCATTCATCAACCTTCAGCCTTGTCTAGCAAGTCCTCTCTTTAGTCTGTCAGCATTAAGGGGTTGAACTGACACACATGGTTCCATTTAATCTCCAAGCATCCTATTAAAATTTGCAAAGTTAATTTCAGCTCCAAGTTTTGATGGACCCGTTTACCTCTTCTATTCGTCATTTCCCCAGATTTTCTTGTTTAAATTAACTGGACTTTTGCCACCCCTTGCAGCAGAGTTGCAAAAATAGAGAGCCCCAGATATCACACTCAGTTTGGCAGGCATTTGAAATTCAACAGCCCGCAAGCCGATCCAGTTTCTGGGCTGTATTTATAGCTGCACATTTATCCCCTTTGGTGCGTCTTATCTGACACAGTTTAAGGTCCAAAGCCACTTATGTTTTCCACAGCATTGTCCAGGGCAGGCATGCTTGGCTCACACACCCTAACACATCCACAACCTGTCTTCCTGGCACCTGTGGAAGTCCTGGTTACCTTTGCAAGTCGAGACTCCAAGGTACTAGGGTCTAACCATAGGGAACTGTGACTTCTTGTGGATTTACTTACTTCTCCAGTGGCCTGAGTCCAGGCATTCAGCAGGTGTTAGTCTTTTCAACATTCACAAACAAGAAGCTTTCCCAAGCAAATTAACTTCTTTAAGATGGGCAATATTGCACGTGGTTCTATGAGGATATTTATCCAAATATAGAATATGATTACTTTTTGCAATTAAATGAATTCTAATTTCCCTGTGAGCCATGATAGCAGGACAGTGTGTCATGGCTGAACAGCTGGCTTATCCCTGGCTCAGGTATTCAACTGTTCTTGATAATCATACGATTCTTTGGATTTTTTTTCTCTGTATTAATTTCCCCACCTGTCTGTACAATCCATTAATAATGATATCATTACTTCTTTAATTTCCAAAGGGTACCTGAATTATTCATTGGAAAACTGATAGAAAGAATCCCAACTCACCATTTCCTATGACACTAGGATATAATGTACATCTTTCTATCTCATCGTTTACAAACGGAGTATTGCGGGTTTACAGAAATTATCAGTTACTGTTACTGTGAAAAGAACTATAAATAAGATTCAAAGAAAAGAATGCACTAGGAATAACCATCCTTGCTTGAGTGTGCATGAAACTGTCGATTAGCCTATCAGCCTTGATGAGAAACTCAAGATTTTGTTGAGATTGACAGTTTTCCTCACCCTAACCTTTTAAGTGTAGTTGATGATACAGGCCCTTTAAGGACTGATTTTTCTGAGCCAGAAAACTGTTCAATTATTTTTTCTGTGACTCTGTGGCTCCTCTGCTGATTATTGCTATTTTAAAGCATCTTTTGTTGCAGTGCTGACAGACGTATCAATATGGGCTTTGTGTTGCCACTGGTATTCTGCTGAGTGACATTACTTTCTTTGATGGGCTTGTATAGAGATGAATATTAGTCAAATTCCATTGCAAATACTCCAGGGAACTCATCCTGATATGCATACTGGCATAGACTGGTTTGAACAATTCTATGAGAAGCTGAACTGAGAGGAAGTCCAAAGCCTTCCTCAGCAAGGCTGTAGCTGTAATGCCCATTACTCACAGTTTGTTTGAGAGTGTTTGATGTTCCGTGAGCTACTCGATTCCCGTTGTCCTCTTCTAGGATCCTTGGGTCCTGGTAACTACATACTGGTTTTTGTAGGATTGGACCACAGCTCAATTTAAGGCATTGATGTCAATTTCAGGCATGGTGTCCAACACTGACCCCATGCAAGGCCCTGTGGAGATAAGCTGTAGTTGGGTGTGGGGTCTCGGGGTCAGAGTAAACAGGCACCTAGAGTGGCAGGCTATGCTTGCCAGCGGGTCAGGGCAACATCCACACCCTTTCATAACTCCTCCAGTAGGGGTGGGGTTGGTTTCCTCCACCCTCAAATTGGACAAGAATCCTGACTTGCAGTTTGGGTTATGAAAGAAAACACAACTTGGTCTGTCCCTCTTTCTCTCACTTGATGCTCACTCTTTACACGCAACCACCACCATGTTCTAAGGCAAATAGGGCTACACTCTGCCCTGGTTGTGGGAGCAGATAGATAGGAGCAAGCATAGGAGGAGGGTAACAAGAGAGTGTGTGTCTGTGATAGTCAGTCTTGTCCACTTAACTGCATTCAGAACTCCCTAGAAGAAACATTTCTGGTGAGTTGAATTTCTAGAGATGTTTATTTACCAGGAGAGAAGACCCATCCTAAATGTGAGTATCCCCATTCAATGTGGTAGGGGCCCTAAACTTAATAAAATGGAGGAAGCAAGCTGAATACCACCATCTATTCTCCTTTGCTCCCTGACTATGGACGTCATGTGACAGGACGTATCTGTTAGACTCTTGCAGCCACACCTTCTCCATTATGAGGGACTGAACCTTCAAACAGTGAGCCAAGACAAAGTCTTCCTCCCTTAAGAGACTTTTGTCAAGAATTAGTCAGATCTGTGGGGAAAGTAATACAATGTCTAAAAAGGTAGGGGTATTTAAAAAACAAACAGACCAAGAAACTCTGAACTGGAAGAGTCAGAGATAGCCTGTCCAAAGAAAGAGTCACACTCTGATTGGCCAGAAATGATAGAAATGGACCTGACTTCCATGAGTTTTAGTCTTATCCTCAGAAAAACATGGGATAATAGTCACAACATGGGAATTGAGACACACATGTCCTTCCAAAGTATTGGGTGTGAGCCCAGAAGCGAAAACTGGTGACAAAAGCAGGTGGGAATTTCCCAAACAGAAGGGTGAGATTTCCCTCAGAAGAAGGGAAATTGCATGACCCAGAGGAGTGTGAGAGATGCAGAAAGAAATTGTGGGTATGTTAGAGCTGGGCAAGATGAGACTGTGAGCCTGCAGAAGCTTAGCTGTGGAGGGAGGAAGTGAAAGATTATAGGAAAGCCTAGGAGGGCAGGCCTGGGCTTTATGAAGACCAGTGGCAGGCAGAGGTCAGCCTGGCAGTGAGAGAGGCTTGGAAGAGGGAAACAGACCCTCAGCTATGCCTTGTCCTTTACTTGGGTCTACTGTCAGGCCCTTTGTGCTGATCCACTGTTATGCCTCTTACACCTGCCATCTAACTCCATGAGACTCTCACCCCCTGATCTCCTACCCAGAGAAGCAGAGGAGAAGATCCCATTTAACAGAAGGGAACACTGACTCAGCAGGCAGAGACAGGCTCCCATGATTCCAAAGTCCATTCTTTAATGCCAGGCTTACTTAGAATTTCCAAAGCCTATGGACAACTGGGAGTGGTGACATATGAGTCCAACCTCAGAACTTGGGAGTTCAAGGCCAGCCTTGCTATGTAAGATCCTATATAGAACAAACAAAGAAACAAACAAACACTCATAAAAGCAGAAAACAACACAACAAAAGCCTTTGGGGGCTGGAGGGGGGCCTTGGGATGCAAGGTTCTAGATTGAAATCAGCTTGTGTCAACTTGCTCGGGATCAAGTTCCACAGATTCTTGCCTTCTCTCTAAAGAGAACTTATGTATAGGGAATACCAAGAAAAGAAGGCACACCACCCCATTACTCTGGCCTGGCCTAGCTTTGATTTGTCAAATCTACTTTAAGGGGACCCCCACCCACTCTGGCCCCTCAGACACTGAGCCTCATTTAGTTCATCTGTCAACACCTTAATAGCCACCATTGCAGGGAGCAGAAGCTGGGAGCTTCCTGCAGGAGGCATTCAAGTTAAAACTCCCAAGCACCATAAACTGCTATACTTGGAAAGACTGGGTTGGGGAGGAGACAGGTGCAGAGGAGGGGCTAGGTGGGAGGAGCCACTGGGTTGGGGAGGGGCTGATGCTGGGGGGTCTTCCCATTTATTCCGGCTCATTCACTCTCAAAAAAAGTCAGGAGGCAGGCAGTGACCTCGTCTCTCCATCTTTGAAGCACCCTGTCTGCTCCCGCCTCCTATCAAAATCCACAGGCAGTCCTGCTGCCATGCTGCGTGGGCCATGAGCTGCAGGCTTGTCTTGCTGAGTGAAGGGCTGGGCAACTCTCAGCCTCCCTCCACGTCGCAGTGGGTTCAGGCAGACAACACCATAGGAAGCTTGGGACCTCTGGGGTCTGGCTGAAGATATCTGTAAGTTTGGGTCTTGCTGTGCTCTTCGGAGGAAAGGTTTGGGGACATAGACTAAGCCAAACACAGATATCATAAAACAAAATTTATCTTTAATTGGTGAGTGTCAACAGCAGTACAAAAGATGGAGTGATGACAACTAGTTTAGGGTAGAGGACAGTCTTGAGGTAAATGAGCATAAATAGGCAGTTCCTATAGACACTCCCCCGTGGGCCTGAGCCCCATCATGGCATATACATCATCACCAAAGGATGGCATGTCTAACACATATCAGGAAAGCACCTTGTGCAAAGAGGGGGGAAATAGCTAAGGTGCCAACATATTCCAGGATAGACAAAGACGGCACGCCTTTCTATCACATCTTTTCCCTTAATCGTGAGGCAGAGCAGGGAAGCAGCCCTGGAGAAGTTCCACTGGAGGGTGTTCCATGCTGAGTTTGTCTCATGCCAATACTGTCCAACAAGATCCAAGAGGTCTGTATGTGACAAAGCTAAGGGCAGTGATCCACTCCTTCCGATTCTAATTTCCCGTTTCTTTAAGTCTTCAGCAAACTTCTTTTTTTTTTTCACTATCCAGAGGAGAGTGTGCGAAAGCTGTGATGGTAACCCTTCAGGTCATTTAAAAACTTTACACTGGACTGTACAAGATTTTTTTTGATAAACTATTTACATTTTCAGACTTTCAAACATATTCAAAGCAGCAATAGACACTAGTTTTTTTTAAATGCTTGTTTGTTTTTCTAATTGCCCAAAATAGTTACCAGCCATGGGCCAAGTAGGTACCTGTGGTATTCATAGAATTTCAACAAAGAGAATCTGCACTTAAAATTTGCTGGAGGGTGTGCTGAACGTCCCTAGAGTCTAAAGGGTCACACCCACAGTGTTGCTATGGGAACCAATGCACAGTACCTTGACAACAGAGTTGTAGTTGTCTGGACAGCCCTACACAAGCTTTACACTTCCAAACAGCAGCCAGCATGTCAGTCCAGCATGTCAGTGAGTTGTGCTGATTAAATTAACATAGAATACAATCTCACAATATACATCACAAACAAATTACAATGTAGGAAAAGAAAAGAGTTACAGTAAGATAAGTTATGTAGTAACAGCTTAGAGGCTTGTATAGGGTAATTCAGAATTGTACATGGCGAATACAAGAATGAGCCAAAACAAGTGCTAAACATCCTAACGTGCTACAGGCTGGAGGAGAACACAATGAAGACTGCATTTTTAAAAGAGAGCAAATGCACATGGGATGGAGGAAGACGGTGGAGGATGCACACCAGCAGACCTGCAATGTGTAGCAATGGCAATTAAACCTTCGAACATTCCCCAGACTCCAAGAGTGCTCACACTGAAGCCCTGCTCTATGCCTGCACTTCTGTGGAAATAAGACACCAGCAAGAAACATCACCCACTGTCTTCCTCCAACTCCTTTGTCAATAGAAGGGAATCTGCAGGAAGCCTTCCTTTTCCATCCCTCCCCCACTCACTGCATCTCTGCCCTCAAGCATCCCCAGTGCCAGTTTACAAGTGGAGATGATGGGATGGGGACAAAGAAGAGCTTTGCTTGCATATCATGATTTTCAATCTATTTTTGATGTGCAGAACCATGATCAAGCGTATGTGGTATCGGAAACAATGTGATTGGCGGGAGAAATAGCTGCTTAAGAAGAAACCATGTCAGGGGTAGAGGACCTAAAAATTGCAGTGCAAGTGAGAGGAGTGAGGTCACCACTGTCATTAGACTTTCAGAATGAGCTCAAGTGCCAGCCCAATCCTTGAAGGAAATGTAGACATGAGGCAAGGCTACAGCTGGTGTTGTTGCCACTTTCTTAGTAAAGAGGAAGATCCTGCCATCATATCAGTCTGTTCCTCTAGACACATCTCTCTGGAGTTGTTGGCACTTGGTACAGAACTTCTATGGCTCAAAATCATGAAGGAATTCTTATTTCCTATCACTAAGGAATTGGTAAAGTCAACTGATTGAAACTGAGTGACTACAGAGCAACAGCCTCCTGGATGGCATCATCGTGACCAACCAGGCCATGTTTCTAAAGGGAGGTACTCATCTCCAATTGCTGAGCTCCAGGCTCAGAAGGTTGTACACTAGAGATGTAGCCTGGCTTTACTGAAGCCTGGTTTCGGCTCTAGAGGGATCATACCCTTCTTTAGCACTCCTGGCTCCCATAGGGCTGGTGTCCAGAGGAGGCCAGCATTTGACAAGTGGAATAGCTCTGTGAGGCCACACCTGAATTTAGAACCTGGCCTGGGAGGTGTCAGGCCTTGGTGAAGGGATTCGGGCCCAAGGCAGGCTAGAAGGTATCAAATACCAAATGAGGCAAACCTGAAAGGCTGAGAGAGTGTTTGTGAAAACAACATGGCCTGGAATTTGCCAGTGAGGAAGAGAAATTGCCAACCTGGCTTCTCATGGATGGACCTTCTCTTACTCTGACCCATTAGCCCTTCCTTACTATTCCATAGAGCCCATTCATTAATAAGGGGATTGCTTTATTATTATTGACAAAGAAAAGCCTGATCCAGTGAGTTCTTTCATGGAGACAAACTTGAGTTTTGATTTAAAGCTAGAGTAAAAGAAGGAACGCTGCAGGGAGGTGACTTCAGAAGCCCCTAGACTGGTACCATGAGGATTATACTAACCTTGCAGGCAGATCTTTACCTCTAAAATGCAACCCCTGCTTCTTGCCTTACAGGGCCTCAGAACTATCTGGGGAGATGGATCTGGACTCACAAGCAAACTGACTTACTCCTAGCTCTGCTGGAAACTGAGTGTGTGCAACTCCTCAGCTTTCTATAAGGGAAGAGGGGGGGAGTCTGAGTTGGAGGACCAGTGGGTTCCGGACCGCATGAGAACAGGTTGGAGTCCTGGTGTCTAGGCTAAGGATGGACACTGCCTCACTGGAGCTGATAACTCTGTCCACACTAAATGTGACTGCTCAGCTTTCAATGTGGAGCAACACATATGGATAGAGAACAGAAAGAAGATACATAACTTATATGTCACTAGGAATTCATGAACCAAAAATAAATTCTATTTCTATGTTATATTTACACAATTAGAAAACTCTAAAAATGAGATGGTGAAGTCATAAAAACTTTGTTTAAGCCCCACTGATGTAAGTGATCTCTGTGATTGTCATTCTCCATTCCCATGGATATTTAGAGCCAAATGTGGCTAATAAATAGAATAAACTGTGTATGCACAAAATTTAGATTAGAATACAGCATTACTGTCTGAGCCAATGAGAGGCATTCACACCCCATCATTCCCAGACAGCCTTTGTATCTGAAAACATGGCTAGAAGTTACTGGACCCAGTGCCGAGGCAGAGCTGGAGCTGACACGAAGTTCCCTACACACATGTATTTTGCATAAATAAATGAAATAACAAGACATAAAAAAATGACTCAGATCCGGCAACTGTGAGGCAAGCCCACACGAGTCGAAACAGATGACTTTTGTTCATGTAGTTTCCATACCAGTTTCACATTAGTCAGTGATAAAAAATACCATTTATATCCAGTGCTTGTAACACTTACGAAACAGCATCTGTGAGTGTGTGTGTTTTTTGTTTGTTTATTTGTTTTTTTCTTTTTTTCTTTTCTTTTTTTTTTACTACAAGCAAATCAAGTTTCAATCCTACAGAACAGTCCTTTGTTCTCCACCAGCCCAGAATATTATTTTGGCATGGTCATAAAAACAAACAAAATTAACTACTATGCTAAATGTTTGCCTTTGTGCAAAATTAATTACATACAATACAATGCTAGCCATATAACATTCTACCTATGCAGCACAATTTTAAAAAACAAAACAAAACAAAACCAAAAACAAACATACCAGTGAGAGCAGAAGCCAAAGAGAAAAGGAGAAACATGAGAAGGAATTGAGGAGAGACAGAGAGTCCAAGAAATCAGTAAGACATAATAAATACTCATTTTGCTTTTGAAAAGTGACCTCCTCCTCATATGAAACCAATGTACAAAAACAAAGTTCCAATCCCCAATCAATATTAAGAACAAAACATTCCTATCAGTACCTTAAACAGCTTATGGGGAGCACTCACAGCTAATGACACAGCTGGTCATCTCTTGGCTAGACCTATTTATTGCTATTAGGTATGGCCTGGAGCACTCTTCAAATACATGTGAAGTTTTACTACTTTCTCCCAAGTGACAAAATGGCTCAAAAAATGTGATGGAGCTGTTCTTTGTCCTAACGCTCAGATTCTGGACTGTCCTGTTCACTGACTTGCTCCCATGGAAGGGTTCTGGGTAAGGCTCCCTGTAGTAACCAGGCCAGGGTTCAGGAAGATCAAAGTCACAACACAGTAGAACTGCCTGTAGTTAGAAGATGGGAGAGGGAGCCTCATGCCTCCCAGCCCAGCAGCATGTCTCCAGAGCTCACCTTGAGTGACAAGAGCAGATCACCTCGTTTACAAGCAGCCACTGAAAAATGAGGTCTGCCAAGGAGCTGGTGGGCTGCCCCAGGAGTCATCTGTCCTACAGGCTGGCAGCACTCTCATGTTTCCCCTTCCCTGTGGCTACCTTTTGCCCTTGTCTTTGTGTTGAGGCTTCTAACACCCTGGAAATTTTGCAAAGGTCTCCATGGATGTGCCAGTTGGGACCAGGTTGCTCAGTAAAGGTGACAGCATGCTAGCTTCACTGTAGACCCCTGTGTGGCCTATGGCCCTTAGGCTTCAGAGTGGCTGCCAGAGGCTCCTTGACCCGCAGTGACCATTGCTGACCTTCACTGATAAATGGAACTCAGGTTTTACTGTTTACTGAAAACTGAAGGAGGGAGAAACTCTAGGCAAAGACCTGGGGTCACAGTGACTCATAGGGGCATACATGTTTGTTTACATGTAAGACACCTTGACCCAGATTCACAAGCCTGCAGCCAGATAGACACTCATCTTTAAAAACAACAATATATGCATTTACTAACATCACTTCAGAAATGTTTCCAGGGCTCTGGGGACATGAGATTGCTATGTACATCTTTTGTATCCAGCAGGAAAAAGAGGTGAAAGGGCAAGGAGGGCAAAAAAGAAAAATTATTAAATTAATGCCACCAATAATTTTTAAAATAAATAGTAAGTGGACCCTTGACATTCTGGAATGAATAAATTATTTAAGAGAACAATGTGTTAAGATTGAATGTCAGGGTGAAAGGCAAGGGGAGAATGGATGTAGTGAGAGGTGGCCTCAGGCAGGGGAGACCACCATGTCGGTGTCTGGTGTGGTGATCACTCTGATGCGTCTGTCATCCCACGCCACACACTGATGGCACATCAAGAGGCAAACACAATTGGGTTCACGAACTGTGGCAGCCTTGCTCATTCCTTACAATATCTTGTCTCCAGATTCCTGAGTACTTCACCATTTTCTGGGAAAAAAAAGGTGTGGTTTGCTATTTTATTTTAAGATGCCAAAGATTGTCTAAGACTTTGCAGTGTCTCCTGTAAGACTTTCAAAATAGTTAAGATTCAAAAGTTATGAAAAAAGTTTGGCACATTCAAAGTTGAATTCTACACATGGAAAAAAAATGGAATTCCGAGGCCTTTTGAACATGTTCTATATGCAGCCGCACACACCGTGGACTTGTCCGGTTTCACAATATGAAATCCTCAGTTGTTTTCTAAAGTAATTCAGAATAAAAACACATTCACAACCTGTAGCCGGCACAGCATACCTGAGTGAGAATGTTTAACCCCATCTAAAACAGTAACTTAAACCCTTTGTCAACATCCCAAAAAAAAATAGTAAGACAGAAATGTAAGACTTGAAAGACGGCGATGGGCGGAGATAAGTTTCCAAGTCCCGGTGTCTCATATTTAATATGTCTTCACCTAAATAAACAACAACAGTAACGGTAACGACAAAAACTCAAGTTTATGAGAAATCAGGAAAACTTAATCTGTCTCACACGTTACGAAGCGATTAAGACCACTCTGCTGATGTATGGTGGAGCCACAAATGCATGCGGGCTCTTTAAGAACTTTGTTGTTGTTGTTGGGGAAAGGGGGTGAAATGTCAGAGTGTTTTAATTCAGCAAACAAAAGCTCCTCAGTTGGCACTGACAGGCTCTGGGGCCTCATTTTCGCTGCTATAGTCTGATTTGGGATCATCTTCGTAGTCGTCATAGGCTTCCATTTCATCCTCTCCATTAATCATGTCGTTCCCAGCCAGGCTTGCGCCATCCATCTTCATACCATACGTGCTCTGGATGACAGGGAGGCTGGGCTCTGGGCTGGCAGAGGTGCTAGAGCAGTCAGATGTCATCTGAGGTGATGGTGTGGTCGTTGCCATAGTAATAGCACCAGGATACACAACACCTGTTCCTGTGGTGATGGGAATCTGAGGCTGTTGCCTGTATAGATTCAGAAACAAAATGAAAGAAAAGGGAGATGTCTATAGGTTCTTATATGAGGCCCAGGACTTCCTAACCCACATTTCCAAACCAGGCCCTCTGTAAACATGCTAAGTGGCCAGAAGGGACAAAAACTTTTCTTGGAAGAATCCCTGGATTGTCCCTGATGCTGTGGCTGGTGGTTAAACAATACAACACAGCAATTTGCTGACAGTTTCACAACATAAAGGCAGAACTTTCAACTTGGCAAATGTCACTGAGCTCAGATCACACTTGGCATTGGGTTGCACACAAATGCTGTAGTTAAGACCACAACGGTCCATGTGAGACCATTTTAAAAGAGAGGAGGGAACAGCTTTTTTTTTTCTTAATAGTCAAGAGGCAGGGGCATATTGTAATGATACTCTTAAGTGGGTTGGTGCCATCTTTAGCTTGGTTTGAGAACTATGGATGAAAGAGAAAAATGAGAAAGGACCTGGCAAGTCGCAAATAGTCAGAACTGGCAAAGGTTTCATTCCTTCTCTGTTCTAATGTGTTCTTGTTGCTGTAGCTGGACTTGGCAAGTTAGGATCCTTCCAGAATAGTCATCTTAGATGTCACTGCTCCTGAGGCTGAGGATGGAGCTAGGGCTGGAGGACTCGGCAATAAAGAGCAGTGAGATTTGCACCCTAATAATAAGATGCACCAGGCATGCTGCTCCTGCTACGTCTCAGAAGATGCCAAGTCAAGTCACACCAGATCACTTCTTCATACTGTGTCCCCAGTTCAAACAAGTGAGCAGATCTCATGAAGGTTGAGCTCTCCCGTATTAAAGACCTGCCACAGCGTGTCTCCTTTCACCCAGCACAAAAGAATTAAAACTCCACTCAGCTCAGACACTGTGTCTGAGGTGACATTTTCAACCATGTACAGTTTATCAAGTGGTCCTCAGTGGTTTGGGGCAGCATACACCTCAAGCATCATTGTAATTGCCTTTTCTGAGCTTTGCTATTCATGTTTGTAAAAATGGGGTCAGGGTGTTCTGGAAGGTCCTCCTACCTATTGTAACCAAGGCTTCTAGTCAATCGTCATTCGAGTAATTCTTATTGGCCTTCTACATCAGTAAGACTTTCTACCCACCTCATTCTCAGGAAAGATATGCATATGTATGAAGCAGCTTTGTGGCCAGCTGGTTAGGGACACCCAAAGATGGTGTCATTTCCTCAGAAAGGCCCCCCAAGATGTCTGGAGATAATGAGCTCACACTGCCTTTAGGGATGGACCTGCAGCCACCACAGGGGTTCCCCCTGATTCTTTAACCCTTTATTAACATAACACACATTTGTGTGGTTGTCACACACACACACACACAGATAACTTAATTCAACAAACAAAATCACCCATTAAATTCCTATTATTCCTCAGATGACATAAGCTGACGACTCAGCAGCACATAGCTGAGCTAGTACTGACTCTGGACCTGCTATTAACCCAGTTCCTGTGATTCCTATGTTGAATCTGATCTCCTGAAGGAAGCAAGTGATAGGAGAAGTTACTGTATCTGTAGATGCACCCTATGAAATCCTGCTCCCTCTCAAATTCCAAAAACATGTGCTTCTTGCTTCTTAAATTTGGGGTAAATTAGCACAAATTTAATTTCATGCTGACATTCCAATATATAAATGCATTACATTTATAACTGATTTTGGCTAATTATAGTAGAGTTATTTTTGTCTTAATTTACAAGTGTAGACAGAACACTTGACTACAATATTGGCCCATTTTACAGATTTCCTAATATGACAGTTATTCTAAACTTTTCAGACCAATACAAACTATCAAATGGAACATTTTCTTTAAGTGCAGAAAACACATGCTTTTCATGAGAATAGATGGTCGCTTTTTGGAGTATTTTAATTAAAATATCTGTATGATATGTATATCTGTTATTTTTATGTCTTAAGTAGATGTAAATTCAGCCAAAAGCTCAGCTCTTGGTTCTGTCAAGCCCTCCCCCAACCTAACTTTCTTTCCATGGTTCGTTGCTATTCTCCTCTCCAGGCCTCTGCTCCATCTACCACCTTCCTGAAAGTTCTTTACTAGTGGGTCTCGAGGCAGGGCCACTCACTCCCTGCTCTGCCAGGCACTCAGATGAACCTGGGTGGAGAAAGTGCACTGCCCTGCTTCTGCTCTCTACATGTAACATGTGAGCTTTGCAACAGCCTCTGGTGCTGTCAGACAGCAACATTTGGCACCTTCTCCCAGTCTACTCCTTTCTCTCTCCAAGACAGCCAGCCCCTTAGTACTTTCAACACTCATCAAAGCTGGCTTGTCATTCAAAGATGATGGCCTGGCTTTTCATTTCATGTGGCAACTAGACACAACTAGAAGCTCCCACCATCACACTGACTCACTTGTGTCTCTGAGCCCAACCCTCTGCTTGCACTTCGCATGTTTCATAAGGTCAGAATCTGACACAGAAGCCTCTTGCTTGTCCACTGAACTGATTTCCCATGGCTTACTACCTCTCCTCTCCTCTCTAGCTGCTGCCTACTTCTCTGATGTTCTAAAACAAAACTCAGGAAGGTTGTCTCTCTTCATTTCTTCCTCTCAGTTCTTCCTTAGACCCATTTCCATTACTCCAATACTATACTGAAAACAACTCCAAATACTAAATCCAAAGTCAGCTTGGTTCTCATGCAATACTGTGGTTTTAAATAGTATCAGTGTGCTAATACCACCAAAGTTTATATCTCTAGCAAGTACCTTCCCTCCTAAACTCATACTCACTCTCTCTTTCTCCCCTCCTTCTCTCTCACACTCACGCTTGTGTGTGTTTTTATTTAGATGCTAAAGACTATCTCAGTCTTATAGGTGAAAAACCAAACTCCTAGTCATTCTCTGGATTTCCAGTCTTGAGTGGCCACTCTGATCTTGGCTAACGAGTACTCCCAATCTTTCCAGTTGCTCAAGCCAATCCTTAGTAAGAGTTCTTTCAATTACTACAGTTAATCCATTAGCAAACCATGTTGGTTCTACATGGGGAAAGTATCTAGAATCTATCTACATCTTGGCACCTCTACTCCTACACACCTGGTTCAACCACCATCAATTCAAGTATGATTTATCCTAGGAGCCTAGCCTCTTTCTGACAGGCTGTGCCTCCTCAGACAAGTTTCAACAAAGTGACTGGAGTGATCCTTTCAAAGCCCAGAATCTTTTGTTTTCCTTTGTTTTTAATTCTTCAAAGCCTTTCCTCTATGCCTAAAGTTAAACTCAACTTCACAATGGCCTGTAAGGTCTTTCACAGTTTGCCTCCATGACATCTATAATTCTTCCCATCTATTCCTCTGTTCTGCTCCTGTCATTCTGGACTCCGTTGTCTTTAATGAACAGGCATAGTTACTCCTAGAGACCTAGAGGACTATGTCTCCTCTGACTACTATCTGCACAGCTTGCCTTCTCACTTTCTGGAAAATGCTGGGGCTACCCTAACCACTGGACCAGCCTCCAAAACACTCTGCCACTGCCCCTTCCTATTTTACTTTTCTCTGAAGGTGCTTGTAGCAATTTTACACTTATTTGTTCATTGATTGATTGTATGACTTCTTCCACTACTAGTATGTAAGCTTCATAAGAATAGTATTCTTCACTAACTTAGCTCCAGAGTCCAGACAATGCCTGACCATGGAGCACACTCAGTAAAAATTTGGTGAATACATTGAGTTAGTGGATAAGGGAACAGACCAGTAAATGGGAAGAAAGAAACAATGGAAAATATAAGTGGCATTTCAGACAAGAAAAGACATGAGATTAGAAGTCTGGGAGGGATAATGACAAAAAAGATAAGGATATGACAATCTTTAGAGGTTGAAAGATTGTCTGCATAAACAGAAGACCAAACCAGAGTACCAGGACCAACTTGCAAATCAACAGGCAGATTTCAGAGCAGCGAAGGAGAAACAACCTTCTAGTACTAGAGAGGTTTCCCAAAGGAAGCATCTCTCTTGGGAGGTGGCAAGCCAGCCAGCCAGGAGCCTTAGTGGAAATGCTAAGGATTACAAGGGTGGTAGGTGACATAAAGCACATAAGATCTGAGACCCTTCTGAGGCTACAACAGACTCTGTGGAGATGAAGTACAAAGCTATATTCTACTCTGGCTGTGTCATATTATTAAAGTGAGCACAACTAGTGTGAGCTGAAGCACCTTGGCTCTCACTGTTGCTCCACCCAGTCTATTTTATATGTTCATCACCATCTCCTTTGTATTATTGCATATTTGACATTTTCTATCCCAGGCATCCACCCCCTCCTTTATTCATACTCAGGAATCTACTTTCTACTAGCCAGACCTTCCCAAACCTCAAGTGCCTCCCTCCAAGGTACCTGTGGATGGTCTGGTCTTACTGCATAGCAAACTTCTTTCCTGGGCTTCAGTTATTCCTGTCTATGTGTCTAGATAAGCACTTCATCATGCTGTACTGTGAACACTACCTGTACTGTAGCTTGTGTGCAAACTATTATCAGTTAACCCAGTGTGGTAGTTTGAATGTTATTGGCCCCCATAATCTCACAAGGAATGGTACTATTAGGAGATGTGGCTTTGTTGGAGTGGGTATGGCCTTGTCGGAGGAAGTGTGTTATTGTGGGGGTGGCTTTTGAGGTTTCCTATGCTCAGGATAGTACCCAGTGTCTCAGTCTACTTCCTGTTGCCTACAAGATGTAGACTTCTCTGCTACTCCAGTACCAAGTCTGCCTGCATGCCACCATGCTCCCTGCCATGATATTAATGGGCTGAACCTCTAAAACTATAAGCAAGTCCCCTCAATTAAATGTTTCTTTTATAAGAGTTGCCATGGTCATAGTGTCTCTTCACAGCAATAGAAACTCTAACACACCCAGTGATGCATGTGTCTGGCTTATCTAACCATTGAACGCTCCAAAAACTTTTGTCTATAGGAAATGCCTTGTGTTTTGGTGATTTAGTACAGAACTGGACATCTTGCTGGTTTCTAATAGGCTCTTAACAACTGACTGGTTAATCAATAAACAAACTGAAAAAAATAAGCCAGCAGCATTATGTGCTGTCTATCAGGAATCACTTTCCTAGAAAAAGCACTTTTTTTCCTTTAGAGATCAATTTCAAAGTCAAAATTCAAACACTGCACATTTCACAGATAGGAGTAGCTGGCAGACCTTGAGCTCTACAAATAATCCAGACAGAAGCTGAAGATGTCTTGGAAATATTTGCATGCAGCTGACTGGAACAAAGCATTACCTGGGCTGGATTGAGACCAGCATGGAGACATGGTTTTAAATCACAAGAGTAATTCTGGAATAGTCTGGCTGTGACAAATATAAAAGGATTACATGTTTATGCTGGTGAACCTCAATAGTTTGCTCCCCCTTAGACCCTGTCAAGGTCTGTAAGTGGAGGCAACAGGACTTGGTTCATGAGAATGTGAGGTGGGTTGCATGGCTCTGCAGATGATGCTGTAGGAAGGGGTGGAAATATGAGCAGTCTTCTTGCATTATCTACTAGTAGTTCTACACTAGCTCCTTATGGGACAGTGCAGCAAACAGAAAACTGTGTCTTAGGCTTCACTTGACTCCTGTATATTTAAGATGAAAATGGTGGGTTTTCAGATCACTTAGGGGCACAATTATCTAGGAAGATAATACTTCTAATATAGTATGAAATAAATACTGGACTCATAGATTTTTCTAAAATAACAGGTCTGCACATTAGTCAGTGTTCTTGGCATTTTCCATTTGCTGAGTCATATTGGTGCCATGGTCATCCTTATTCTACATACAGAAAACTGATAGGCAGAGTTGGAGGTTCTGAGGAACAAAGGTTTATCCACGCCAGTACAATGATGAAAACACACTCTAGCACCGGAGCCAGAACAGACTGGCTCTGGAGTCAATGCCTTTACTACTGTCCTACATGGGTTCTAATTGTGACGTGCATACAACGTTAAGGCAAACATATATTATAACCATATCAGCCTGACTTACATCTCAACCATGCGCCTGACTATGTGCCTTGGACAAGTGATTTCATGTCTACCAACAAAGTGCCTGTCAGTCCTCAAATAGTGATGGTGTCTATCCAATGCATTTGGTATATTTTCAATAATCTATATTCTTCACTTAGAACATCATATTGCATAGTATGAGTATTCAATACTTTTCCACTATCGATGCTTACAAAGTCATGCCACTTGGATACTCTTCAGTGTCTGTGTAATTTACTACTAGTTCTGGGGAAAATTACTAAATGTGTTCTAAATAAAAAGCAACTTTAGCAATGATTCATTAGTAAAACATAACATTGTAGCTAGACAGGCCTCAGAAAATATCAATTCTGTAGTCATAGAATGATCACAAAATCCTAATACTTCATGTGCCATATGAAGGAGTTAAGTGACAGGTAAGAGGAAATTCTATTACATATTATTGACAGAATTTTTTTGTAATAGCTAAGTTTTCTAACTCATCAGTTAAGTTGTACAGTCATGGAAATGCACAAAAATGTCAAGTAATGTATATGATATTCTGGCTTGAAAGGGATGCATGTCTTTTCAAAATCAGCTATAAAAATCGATCATGCCCCATCAAGACGTCAATAATAATCTTTGAGTTTTTGTTTGTTTTGCTTTCTGCTCTGCTGGTTGTAAACTTACAGCTAATAAAGATCAATTTCCAAAGATGAACCTTGGGGAGTTACCACTCTATCAGATTTAACTATTTAGAAGAAAATACTAGCTTTATGTAGCAGGTATTCCTGGAACTGGGCAGAGGGAAGCAGTCATCTGGGAATAAAGAACAGGCCTGGTGGTAGTGGTGGCCCATGCCTTTAGCCCCAACACTCAGACAGCCAAGGATACACAGAGAAACCCTATCTCCAGAAAACACACGAACAAAGCAAAAATAAAAAACAAATACAAAAACCCAGAACAGACGTTCTGGTCATTGCCTGTCCTTTGGCAGCACTGTTTGTTCTAGAGAGTGAAGCTATCCTTCCTTGACAGATCTTCTTGTGCGGTCAGGAGCAGTCCAGCCCCTACAGCTCATATCAGCACATCCCACAGCCATGTACTGCACTGCTTTCAGGGTCCAGGAGCCCTTCACAAACTGCACGGCTATGTTCATGTCTGTCCCAGAAGAACTTATGAGGCACATTGTGAGGATATATGGTAAGGAGGGTTTCTTTGCTGTTAGGGATGACAGAGATGAAGATGTGAAGTTGAGCTTTCATTTCTCATCACCTTTGGGAACCATGCAGATTCTCTGAACCTTAATTCCTGTATCTTACTTAGAGGGTTATGGATTGAGTGACCTGGGTATACAAGCACCTAGTTCAGTGTGGGCACCCAATAAATTGTAGATGTCACTAAGTTAACTGAGAATTACCAATCTCATCAGTCTGCACCAGTATGTGATGGGGTATTTGGATACAGACCCAGTTTAGTGTACTCTGTAGCAAAGATGACTAAGTTAAATAGCACTGCTATAACTCATCTGTTCAAGTATCAGGAAACAAACAGTACTTCTGATAACCTTTAAGGACTGTGGTCAAAGAGACCCAGCAAGTATCACTCAACACATAGGGGCATAAGAAGGCCAGGAATCACAAAAGCCCTCAAATTTAAACTTTTCAAAAAGATAAATACAGTCTCGAGGATGCAATACCAGGTTAAACATACAGGATGTTGTTTAACATCCTGCAGTCTTAAATCCATATTGTGTTAAAATGACTAGTCTGCTGAAAGGGCACTATGAACCTGTATTTTTCATAAACTGTCTCATTATCATGTGAATGGTCCAATTATATTGCATTGTACTTTTTGTGTTAAAAGCATCATTGTAAAAGGTGCAAACACTCACAGCACAGAGGTATTTGATAAGCCTATTTTGCCACACCTTCATTTATTAACATGTTAGAATCTTCAATTAATAAGGTGGGGCAATTCTCTTTATGCCAAGAGTCTAGAGAAACTCCTAGGTGAACTAAGGAGATAAATAGCTTTGCTGGGATAGCGGATACCTAGTAAGTCAAAATGCTGGTCCCGGGGTTTCCAGCTACTGTCCTAAGCACTGTCTTCTAAAAGTTCTGCCTTCTTGACTTGTCTCAGTAACTATACAGATTGTCTGTTATCATTCCTCCCATTTTACATGTGAGGAAATGGAAGCTGGCTAAAGGTAAGGTCCCTGCCCAAGTAGGTGACAGAGTCAGCACTTGTTGCCCAATCATCAAACCCCAAAGCCCCAGTTGTCCCCAAGAACCTATTGTACCACACATAGAAGGCTCTTTTACTGACTTCCCGCTTATGCTATTTGTTATTTGAATTCATTTCACCCTTTTAAACACAGACTTCTAAGACCAGCAAGTTCCATCCTCAGGGTTTCCCTTGGAGCATCCTTAAACAGGAAGAGTGCCGCACTCACTATGTAAGGCCCCTCTCTTTGCACCTTTAAATGGAATTCTCTTACTAGGCCAGGGTACAGCTCCCCTTTGTCCTTCACATGTCCTGGTAATGTGGTTTCCTTTCTGCTTCCTCCACTCCTCTCTCTCAACCCTCTCCTAGGATTCTCCCTCTGTCTGCAGCTGCTTCAGCTTCTGTCTCCAGGGTGCCCCCCACACACACACAGGCTGCTAAGGTCTGAGTGCTGGAATCTCTAGGCATCTGCCCACTTATCCTGACTACTGTGGTTAGGAGGGGCCGCTCTTGAATGCAGACAGCCCGTCAGCCAAGTCGAAATTTATACCAGAAATCTATTACCTAATTTTTAAACAAAATGACATGAAATCAGACTTGAAGATATCAAAAACATGCCCAGTTTCTGATTTAAGCAAGAAAATCCACATTGTTACTGCTTCCACCACAGGATAATTTACTGCAACAGGAGTTCTGGATACGGTGCCAAAAATGAGGTCTTCTAACCAATGTCAAGGCCAATTATCTTGTGGTAGATCCCACAACAAAAGCAGACCATTGTGACTACAGTCAGAAGCACCACCAGAGAAGCCGGGAAGCTGTGGGGATTTCTAAGAGTCAGTTTTTACTTTTTCTCCCTGTGTGTCTGTCTAAATAAACTACCAGAAACTCTGTGTGTGGGCACTGGCCCTCTCGGGTGAGCATGGAAGACATGCCATCAGCAGGTTTGTGTGGAGGGGGGCAGCAGACAAGCTGTAGGCTTGTGACAAGGCAGAGAGAGTCCCATAGCCATGCTCTCCGCGTGTCACAATCCTCCCTTCACTAATCTCTTTCCCAAACACATACACTAGAAGCATCTATGGTTCTTTCCTGGAAGGGGAGGGTGGGGCTCCACTCAGGGCTACGTACCCCACAGTGAAGAACTGTCGCATCTCCTGCCTCCGGGAGCGCATCAGTTGCTTGTATTCCCCAATCCGCAGCTTCTTGCCATCCACGATACACGTGCGCTTCGGCCGGGGTTTGTACTTGTAATTTGGGTACTTCTCTAGGTGGATCTTGCTTAGCCGGGCCTGTTCTTCATAGTAAGGTTGCTTCTCCTGATTGGACATGGATTTCCAGCGAGATCCTAAACATGAAATTAGCCTTAAGTATATAAGCGGTCATGGTGAAGTCCACATGTCCCAGATCTGTATGACTGGTCATGCTTCCCATTACTTTACTGCCTTTGCCCAGGAGCTCCTGTTACCACACACCACTGAGCCTCCCAACCTGTCCTTTAAATCACAGCACCACACAACAACAACAACAAAAATACAATGTGTTTATTGTATTTTTTTCTCTCAGTATTTTATGGCTGGTGATACTATGCTATTTTTAAAATTATTGTCATTATTGCATGTGTCCGTGGGTGTTCAGGTGTGTCAGAGGACAGACATCTTTGGGAAATTATTTCTCTCCTTCCACTTTTATATCAATTCTGAGGATTGAAGTTAGGTCACCTCGCCAGGCCTGTGAGACAAATATGTTGCCTTCTGAGCCAGCCCCACTGCGCAATTGTAAAATGGTTTTGCTACCACAACCAACAGCTTCCCGGCTTAGCTGTCTCTCAGCTTCCACATCTCTCTCCTTCACTCCCCTCCTCTCTCTCTCCTCAAGGGTTAATATCACAAACCTTCAAGGCATGCTTCTGAGACTGGCAGGATTCTCAGGGAGCAAGAACCTCTCTTGGTCTCAGAAATTGCAGTCTCTCCCGCTCTCCAAGCATCTTTACATAGATGTTAGCATTCTTGCATATATAGAAACCTACCCTGTGCATTGTCACCTTTAGGATGACACAACTCTCCTGAAGAGGTTGTAGCTATGGAAGGGGAGGTGCAGCTGAAGTCATATGCACCATTCTCAAGTTCTATAAATGATCATTCAAAGACGAACCAGTAAAAGCACAGATTTTTAAAGGATGGTTTATACAGGAAGAAGGAAAAGTATTCCCTTCTCTAATATTGTTTACAAAGAATTATCTAAACACATGATGGAGAAGGGATGTGCTTTTTCACATGTATTGAATTGCATTTTTTGTGTCTGGTGGATAAAGTGCTTACAGCTGTGCAGACTGGATGTTAGCAGTTCTTCAGTGGCGATTTTTCACACGTAAACAAATGGCAAAGTTGTACAAATAGTCTCAGTAGCTAGCAGTACCCTGGTTTGCTCTCACAGCATCCCTGTCCTTTCCTGGTGGTTGCATGAAATTGTGCAGATCCTTCGGCTATGCCAATCAGCTTGTTATGTTGGCTGCCAGCATAGGGCCCCAGGTTAGGATTGCTGGCACCCTTGAAATGTGAAATGCTCGTGCATAACAGTTTACATTTTAATGAATATACTTTTTATGTTCCTTGTAATGTTTTCACAGGATGCATATCAATAATAGAGATTCTTCAAGGCTGCCAAGATGGAAACAGAGGGCGTCTGTGCCCATCTGAAAGCTTACAAATGCTGCTACCAAAAATGCAAGAAACAAACAAGAAGTTATCAGTAGCTGTGAGGCTGGAGTAACACTGATTTCTTTTATAGGTCTTTGAATTTAGAATATATATATGTGTGTGTGTGTGTGTGTGTGTGTGTGTGTGTGTGTGTGTGTGTGTATTCTGCCCATTAGGAACATTTTAACTTGTACTTAAATTAAAAAGAATATCATCCCCTTGCCTATCTCTGAAACCCTAAAATTGAAATTTCTCTAAATGGAAGTGATATTTAGCATTTGCTTTAAAATGCAAAAGAAACAAAAAGTAAAAAGCCTGTGTTTACATGTTCTACATCTATTTGGTCCAAAGTATGTTTTAAATTTTCTTAGAGGCTCCTGTCTCAAAATGTCTCAGAATCAAGTTAAATCATTTATTTTGTGACAAAACACGTGTATTTGTGTGTGCCCAGATCACTGGTATTTACTCAGGTTAAATATTTATTGCTCTTGAACAAAACATTTAAAGAATTAAAGCCACAGTTTAAGCCTGGTGCTTTCCAGAAACTTAGGCGGCTCCTTTGGGTTCTGTTCTACAGTGGCAGCTTAAACAGAACAGGGCCGTCTGTGTTTCTTCTCTCAAAAGAGGAAACATGTTGACTGTAATGCTGCATGTTGAATAAAATATGTTCAATATGTTGAGCACAACAGTTCCACACTGTGTAATCTATGCGAGGCAAGCTTACCCTGATGGAACAAGGCTTGAATTTAAGCCTGAGAACCTGGAGGATGGTGCTGGCAAAGCAGGGCTTTACCCTGCGGTTGCAGCTCGGCTCATGGCTATGAAATTTGAACTAGGCATACAGCATCAGATTAAATGTAGCTTTATTTTACAAGTCTTGAAGTTATCATTAGAGACATTGTTCTGCACCCTATGAATTTTACACCATTTGGGGGCACCCCTAGTACTTGGTGAATTCCCCCAGTGGGCCATGTGAACCTGGGTTGTAAGGTCTGTGTTTACAGGGCTGCCTGTCCCTGAGAGTTCTGTGAGCTCACTCAATAGTTGTTAAATTTACAATGTAAGCACATTACTCTAAATTCAGCTCTAAATTAAAGTTTTTAGCCAGGCTTACTTGGTGATAATTCTGTCCAAGAATAAAGTTTACAGGCAACATCCCTTCACCTGAACTGTGTTGTGACACTCTGAGAGAAAATGCCCAAGGCTGCCATGGCCATTTGCTTTAATTTCATTTGCCCCTTGCCGATGGGTTTCCCTTAGGGAGTCTCTTCTGGTCCTGCTTGCCACCATTGCACCCAGCCCACCCTCCTTGTAGGGTAAGATATCAGCACCAGCTGGGCTGCAGCACTCGCCTAAGATTTTGCTAATGTTGGAGTTATGCATGTCAGGGAAAGCCTGAAGAATTTTCCTCCTTTCGTCCTTCGCCCAAACCATGAACGCATTCATTGGTCGCTTGATGTGAGGCTCGCTGCTGGCCCGGCCGCGGGCATCCCTGTAGACGCGTGCTTCAGCCACAGTGGCGCCTCCTGTTGGCCAACAATAATACTGCTGTAGTTTAGCTGCAGAGCCATTCATTGCTTTGCTTCCTGTAATGTTAGGGCAGGAAGAACAAGATGGGGAAAGTATTATTACCAGGGCATTTCACATTTTTCTGCCTGGCTCCACTGCTGTGCCCAGGCTCATCTTCTGTTCTAAGACATTTTTTGGAAGCAGACAGTTTTAGATGTTTTTAGACAAGCCTTTCTGACACAGAGTCAGAGAAGGTAGGCCAAACTGATTTTGCACATTGTTCCTTCTCTACACCACATAGTACACATTGTTGTAGGTGGTAAGAAAGCCCCAAAGGCCTTCTACTCCTCCATGCCAATCCCACTATCTTTCGAGTCCTATTCAGTTGCTGCTGTTTCAGGAATGAATTAATTCAATAAAATGTATTCACTGAGTAATCACTTACTAGAGAAGCTTTATGCACCAGGGACAGGAAGGTGAATAAAGCCTTCAGGAAGCTCACAGTCCAGTGGGGCAGACACTTATGACTGGCTATGTGGAAAATTCTGCAAGACTGGAATTAGCAAGGCACCAAGAGAATACAAGGTGGGATGGTCAGTCAGCCAGTACATTCTGAGAGACATGACATCTCAGCTGATTCTGGAAGGATGAACCGGCTGGTAAGTAAGGGAGGGGATGAAAGGCAACCTGGAAGGGCATTCAGGCTACAAGAGCAGCCATGATGATACAGAGGCTGCCCATTCAGGATGCACTGCCTCCCTTGGCCTATAGGCTCATGCCCTTAGTAATCACTGCATATGTGACTATCTCCTTCTGACAGTTCCACTTCATCCCTGAAATGTGAAATCCCTAAAGTTAGAAACCCTTATTCTCATACTTGTATATTAGTACTTCCCAAAAAACCATAGTAAATATTCATTGAGTAGGAGATAATTGGTCAATTCATATGCAAAATAGTAGGCTAAATACCCATTTCAAGGGTCTTGATATATGTTTCTGATGATTAAAAGGATATCTTTACTATTTATGAAACTTTGACACTTTCTAAAGAACTAATTTATTAGCACAATGGATGGACAACTCTTCCAGGACGAGGTGGGGATAAGGCTTACCTGCAGTAGTATTTCTGGGATCTGGTGACATATGTGACACACAGAATTCTAATTACTGAAGTGTGTTAAATGAATGAGTAGATGAGGCTCTGGCTTTTCATACACTCTATGAGTGTGACACAGTGATGTGTGCTTTGCCTTGTCTTAACAACTGAATATCTCTATATAGATTGACAACATCTATGGTAAAATGTGAAGTAGGCACAGTTGATGGCCTCAGCTAGTGTTTCTACTACACAAACTAGTAATCCTGCCCCTCAAATTCAGTATGCATTAACACCAACACCTCCATTTTCTAGAACAATCCATTCAGTCAGGTAGCACAGTTCTGCAGGAGCAACATGCCCCATCAATCTCTGGTCCTTCTGTCCTATTTCCAGATACCTTGCTTAAGGAGCAATTTGTTTGTGTCAAAGCCAGTAATAAATTAGGACATTAAGGGGTGCTATTATTTGGAAAATATGGTCATCATTTACTACAGACAAAAGACAGGATGAAAGGATGAAATTTGGCTAATATTGTGAATTTTTCCTTCAACATGAAGGAGGGCAGTGAGGTCACTTTCTGAACATTATGAAAAAAAATAACACACATTTTATAAACAGACCTTCCTTAAGCCCACTAGACAGAATGATGCGTTACTCAGAAAGGCTCAGATCCCAAGATGCATAACTAATATGCTACCTTTTTGCCACCATACCCACAGTACATTAATTTCATTTAAAATGCACTGACCATACAGGATAAATTGATTTCACTTTATGTGAGTTTGACAGCCATGTTTATTGTGCAGTGAAATGCAGTGTAGCTTCCAGCTGACAATATCCATCAACATGGGGCAATATGCTGACTGCTGGGCCAGATGAAGGCATGCATTACTCTGGAAGCGAAACACTCATTCAGATACGACAGTGTCTTCTCCTGAGGATCACCGTGGTAATTTATGACACCCTTGGTGCCATTACTTTACAACTGACATGGATGCAGCAATTTATATACTGGCATGTGTACACATAAAAGGAGACAGGTTTGTGGAGAATGTCAGATGTGAAAGCATGTCAGTATTATTCTAAGTTAACTATTATGCCACAGGTGATTAACACTCAGGACCTGCTTTTTCTGCTGGCGTTTCCTCTCTGCTAGCAAAACCGGATAGCCAGCTTCTCACTTCTCCCTTTGCAGCATTATTTCATGGTGACATGGGATGCTTTACCCTCCCACACACTGACAGAAATCATGGTGAGATTTTAGAATTTAGTCCAGAGATAATCCATATATTCCACACCACCCTACTGATGCTGATAGTTATTCTTCTAGATTTGTACCCATTTCTCTCTCCTCTTTGTCTCTCTCCTCTCTACCTGTTCTCCTTCGCTTAAGGCTGTTATACAGTTTAAGCTTATTCTTCTCTTCAGGAGCTCAGTGATATTCTGCATCTTTTTTTTTTTTTTGGTTTTTCAAGACAGGTTTTCTCTGTTTAGCTTTGGAACCTATCCTGGCACTCACTCTGGAGACCAGGCTGGCCTCGAACTCACAGAGATCCGCCTGCCTCTGCCTCCCGAGTGCTGGGATTAAAGGTGTGCTCCACCAACGCCCGGCTGATATTCTGCATCTTGCAAGGGGCATAGATCAGCTTCTCCCTCTACCAAAGTCTTCTCTTCCCCTCCCCAGCATATACCACTTTACGCCATCAGTTTCAGAGAGGAATTTTGGGGCTCCAAGGATGAATCCATAGTGAATAATTCAAGTGCAGTACATATTACTACAAAATGCAAAGTAAGAAGGAGCAGGCAACCCTTGAGTACATAGGTCTGCATCTCCCTCCCTCTCCCTTTCACCCTGTCTTTTGCTTGTCACTTCTTTTCTTTTCCAGAAGGAATGAGCTGAAAAATGGTGTTAGGAAGAACCAAGATTTTGGAAGAAGAGACTTATCCAAGGAGACCAAAGTTTAAAATCATGAATTGGACTAGCTGTTATTGCAGTGTGACTTTTAACATGGTACAAATCTACAGTCCCCAGACCCCACTGTTGGGATACATGTTTGCCTGGCTTCCCTCCTCCTCCTCCTTGTGATTATATCCATTCTCTCCTGTCTTCCACATTCCCTAAGGTAACTCACCACTACATAAATGATATCTGAGATGTTACTCTTCTTCTTAACTAGACAGTTAAGACTGATATATACTGTTGCTGCTGTTGACAAGTGGTAACAAGCTTACATTGCACATGAAAACTGGCATCTCACTCTGGACTCACTACTACTAATATCCTAGGAAGGGGAAGTTCTTTTCTGGAACTTACAATATCTGGATTTGTGTTCAGGTTGTTAAAGGAACATAGTGCTAAACTACAGATGCTCCACAGGGACATGCTGAAGGCCTCTTGTATTTTCACATTTTGTAGTGGCTGCATCTCACATAGCTTCTAGAGGCTATCTAGAGTTCACTGTGCAGAATGATGCTTTCTAACAAAGACTTCTTGGGCTGAATTTTTTGATAGGAAACATCTCTTGGTATCACTTTCTTTTTTATTGAAAGATGGCAACTCATCTATCACTTGAGCTTTGGCTCCAGATTTGAAAGAAGTGGGGAAAGAATTTCACAAAGATATGAGAGGTGGGGGGAGACTTAGAAAGTGTTACTAAACTTCCCTATCATCTCCTTTATGATATGAGAGAGCTGGGGACTCTATACATACACTATACATGCATGCATAAATTCAGAGCTTAAAAATGAAAATACATTTTTAAAAATCCCTTTAAAAAGATACAAAATGTTTTACAGGACACTATGCATTATTTCCAAGCTTTTAAATTCTATATATCAAGTGTGCCAAGGCCAATTCACTTTTGAAAACATCATTAGTTGCATAGAGAAAAGTATTTTTTTCTAAAATAACCAACTCTTAAATCAGAATCCAGCACCAGAGCCAGATAGGGATCACTAGGTGTTGCATGAGGGACTTTTAACAGTGGAGGAAAGATCTGTGACATCAAGAGAGTCCCCTAGAAAGTGGCTGGAAGGAGTGTAGACTCACAGCGATGCATCCAGGACCTCAGCTTCTCGACTGACCTTTGAGTCCTCATGGACCAGAATCAGCAACCCCAAGAACCTCTACTGAAGCCCCTGAGGACAGCAGTACCTACCAGGAGGCTGAAGCCCCTGTCTGCTCGGACCTCCTGCTTTATACAGTCTCCCTGCACCAGGGGGTTTATGTTGGTTAACTCATCCTTCATCTCCAAAGAAGGCTGTGTAAATACAACATTTCAGGTAAACAAAGACATCTGCAGGGAGAGGATAGGAGCTGCCAAGACAAAGATTTCCTTAGGAAGCTTCAGAGTGAGTGATTTAGAGACGACAGAAAACAGAGTTTTTCCAGGTGGGTTGTTAAGAAGGCCCAGTTTACCATCACAGCCTATGTCAATGGTCCTGAACTAATTTTACAGAGGGGCCTTCCTGGGTAAATCCCAGGGGCTAGCTGGATAAGTGAGTGTTCAGTGTGGATTTGTGTATATATAAAGTTCTCTGAAAGACATGCTGGATATTTCTATACTGTGCTTGGTAATCACCCCTACAGATTAATTTAGCAAACTCTCACAATAAATTTTCAGTGTACTGGAAGCACCAGAAGTCTCCATGAGGTAAATAACACAGACACTAGAATTTTTCAGGGGTTGTTTGGATAGGGGAATGACACCTAGTTAAAAGTTAAACACCAGTGCTAACAAAGGTGATTTCAGAACATTACAAAAGGGAAGAGGAGCTCTGAGCATCCTTGGGGTACACACAGGTGCATCACAGGGAGACTTCAGAGATAGATTACTGCTTGAACCCTTAAAGAAGGGCAAGATTCAGTGAGCATGGTGTCAAAGTGCTCCAGGGAATCAGAATGAATAGACAGACTTGCAACTGGAGCACAGTAAGACACTGGCATTGGCTAGGGTTTGTGGAGAAGGGAGGGGAATA